CTAACATCCAGCATTCTTTTTCTAGGGATATTTTACGATCCCTTAAATCTTTGGTCAGTTTCTGAAAAGCAACTTTCGTCATTCGCCTTTTTTGTGCTCCACTTTCCGACCCTTTGTTATGGGTTAGCAAAAAATTACAAAATAGTTTATAATAAAAAAAAACTGCAAAACAGTAAAAAAATAAAAAATAAAATAAAAACAACAACAAAAACAAATAACAAAAAACAAAAAAAAAAAAACAAACACTGGCGGAAGTTTAATCTTTTTATTTTTATACACGCTGGAAGTTCTAATACAAACATTTCAGAGTGTTTTAATGTCAATCTGTGGACAGTGCAGAGGATTCGGAAAGAGTTGGATGAGTGAAATGGTGATTACGAAGGTACGGCAGCTCGGAAAACTCACCCTGATAAGAAAAGAACTCTCATATTTGTTGGTGAGGGCCTCTACATCTAGTGCCTTGAGAAGGTAGTCCTGTCCTGGGTCAAATGCGTGGCTGCTGGAAGACCCTATGTATGGCAACAGGACTCTATACCATACCAAACAAGCAGGAGAACCCAATTATGGCTGTCAGACAATTTCTGCAACCATATCACCCCTTACAACTGGCCACCCAACTCCTAAGACAGCAAAACCTTGATTATTATGTGTGGACGCAATTGAGCGAAAGATCAACAAAACTCCTTGTAGCACCAATGATAAACTGAAGACAAGGATTATAGCAGCATTCACCAACTTAAATAAGGAGATTTTTCAGAAGAGTTGCAGGGGATTCCGAAGTTGTCTGGAGGTCGTGGTTGAAGCCAATAGCGATTTTATTGAATAAATGTACTCTTTAGTATTTCAAAATATTTTTGCGTAATTTTGGTAAATATATCTGTTAAAATGAGATGGCAACATTGTTTTATTTTTGCGTAATTTAGATGACAATTTATCCATCGCACTATATATATATATATATATATATATATATATATTATACGTTATTTTTATAGATACAAATATTTAAGTAAATGCTCTAACTATAATAAACTGTATCAGCAACATTTATCGGCCTTAGTGTCCGAGAAATTTTATGGAAAATATGTGTTCTCCGACAGGAATCGAAGCTGTATCATACACGGAACCGCCATATAGCCTGTCGTGCTATACCATTTAGCGACAGAGGAAGCGTCTAGTTAGCAAGGTAGAATTACTGCTTTTAAACTACAAATTTTCCCTCACCTCGAAGCGTATATTAAAGTAAACAAATGACGTCATATATATATATATATATATATATATATATATATATGGGGTTAGTCAAAATTATGTTAATACTTAAATCACTTCTTTGACTTAATAATAAATTTTTGTTAAATATGTTAATTTCCAATTTATCATGTAAACAGAGAAAACAGGTTTCATATAAAGGTCTTCATGTCATTGCCGTTTTTAAAATTTTACATTTCGCCTTTGGAGTCTTATTATCATCTTTTAAAATCCCAAAACTATTTAGAAAGTAACGTATTTTTTGTAAGTACTATTGGTGAAGGACAAGATATGTTGGTATCACCTAGTTTTCAAAGATTTCTTAGTACTACCAATATAGAATTTTTCAACTGTCGGATTCTCTATTGTAGAGATAGTGCAAAGATAAACAAGAGATTTAGTTAAACATTTGTTTGGCAATGGACATTGGTTAGAATTTCTAAAATTGCATTGGCCAGTATCATTAATAATATTTACCTTGGAACCTTATCCAGATCCAGATTATTAAATTGGTTTAAAATTTGATTATTGTGTAACTTTATAATCTTCTCAAGATTATTGGTGCAGCTATAACTTAGTTTAAATGTGTTTCTGTTAAATATTTTACTAAGAGGGTTACTTTTAGGAAAATTTTTATCAGTCAATTGGCATAAATTAGTACTGACTAATTAATTAAATGGTGGTGTGTACAAAATGATCTCCCTATTTCTATTTCTTTGGACCACTCTCATCATATTTTCTAAATTTGATTTCAGCGCAATTATAACCATTATTCGTTAAAACTTTATTATACACACCGCTATATTTATGAAATACATCTTTCTCCAATGGGTGGTTGATAATCATACATTCTACATACGAAGGTATATGTTGGATTACAGATGGATGGTTGTTAGAATTGGGGTGAATATAAATTGGGTTGGTATTATTTTTCATATATATCCTTAACGAGATCTAACGTAATATCAAGAAAATCTACTTGTTTAACGTTAGTACTTATCTTAACCTTAGGATTTAAACATTTTAGTTCTCTATGAATCATTTCTTAATTTATCTATCTTAATTTTAGTGGAATTTTTTACTACCCTAAGACCATCATCTCTATATAACCTTATACTATCAACATTGACATCTTCACAGGCAGTAAGTTTATATAAAATAAATAAACCCACCAAATCAGAAGACTCTGCAGAATCTAATGATCCCATTGAAATATCAAAGTAATCATCAAATTTCTTAACCTACTGTTTGTATTGTGGATGAGAACTGATCTACAGTTCATTAAGATGGAGATGTTAGAATATTGTTTGGCAAATTTCAAAGCCAGGGTAAAGAGATTCTTGGAGATGGAAGGGTAAAAATCTACAATATCAAACTGAATAAAAGAGCAGATTATTTTGTTACTAATACCTCTAAACCAATTAATGACTTCTGTGGTACCAATCCAATGGCCAAGGCCTCGTTTGATCTGTTTGTTGACCTGATTTAGGATAACTTTGCTAATCCTTCCAATTTCCGATCTGGTAGGGTTTATGATCCTCGTAGGAAGTTTGGTCAGAAAGTCTGGCTTTAAGTAAGACATATGATTCTTTAGTACAGAGTTTACTAACTCTGTTGCTGATTTTAAGTTTTTCAGTAATATTTCTAGAAGCAGTGTTAATTTTACCAAAACAATTAATATTGTTAATATCTATCTTATAATTCTTAGTCAAATTGTTTTTGATTAATGCATAGTATTCATTGGGATTAAATTTATAAAAATTAATAGTGTTATCAGATTTAATAAATATTTGGTTGGATTTATTAATATCCTTAACTATACAATCTAAATGCTTCTGAAACTGATTCCTATTTTTATGAAAAGTGATTTATAATGTTTAGAAGATCAGTTTCAAAGCCGTGTAATGAGATGTGCAGTTTTTAAACCCCTAAACCCATTAAGATCTGATATAGTCGAAACATCTCGATCAAGAAGGAAGACGCAAGCTTTCCATCTAATCGTTCTAATAAGATCCTCAGTTTTTAAAACCAGTTTTTTTAAATATTCCAGTTTTTTTGTGATGGGAATGTTTATTTTAACGAAATTCCAAAATCGATCTTTTCCATGTTAGAGTATTAAATAAATGTAAATAGTGCTCAACCCTATATATATATATATGTGTGTGTGTGTGTGTTTTTGTGTGTATTATATATGTTTCTATATAGTTTTGTAGTATGTTTAACCTGAAACTTATATTGCCATTGAAAAGTGATAACTTTTTATTATATCTTCATTAAATAATTAGTTTAAAACTTTTAATTATTTCACACTAAACAAGGCGGGAGTGCCACTAGTATGCTGAGTGTTACAGAGAGTGAAAATGAGAGGAAAAGTTTAAGTACGGGGGGGGAATTGAGGCAAGGATGAAAGATGAACGGGGTTAACGTTGCATTTCAGCTTTTGAAGATTATAGTTATCAGGGAAGCAAGTAAGCGAAAGAGAGTCCCACTTTGGGGAAGTGCGAGAAAAGAAGCCGTTGGAGATTTCATTTAAAATCAACCATTGACAAACACAAAGTATGGCAACATTTTATAGTAAAACTGTGAAAAGTTTTATCATTTGCCAAAACATTAAAAAAAATAGGCAAAAGCTTTATAACCCATAATATAAGGCGCGTCAGAAACACTTCCTACGTGTACCTCCCAGAAATACATTCAACATAATGGTAAGACAATAATGCCAATGGTGTCTTCATCTAGCTAGTATCTTACCATTATATGGTACGTATTTCTGTGTCGCACCCTGTACAGCAAACCAGCAAAAAAAAAAAAAACAAAAGAACAAAACAAAAAATATCAAAAAATGTAAAATAAAAATGGCGAAACTTTAATAATTTTATTTTTGATACATAGTGAAATATTTGATTATGCTTTGAGTTGTGATATATATATATATATATATATATATATATATATATATATATATATATATATATATATTTTTTTTTTTTTAAATAACGTCATTCAAGTTCTGCGCAAATAAAAACGGATCAATAAAATATTAAAAAGAAAGATCTGCAATAAAATATGTAAAAAAAAAAAAAATCAAATCAACAATCATAACTATAAAAAAAAGAACCCATAATTTTGTCCGTATATTACCCTATTCTTTCTTTTCCCATAATTCGTTCTCAATATTTTTATTTTTGGTCACATCGATGTTATTTCGTCATTTCGACTCATAGCGATGTTGTCGTAAACGTGAACAACTGTCGTCTGTTTTGAAGGAGGCTTGTAAAGATAATTAGCTAGAATGAGAAAGAGGATAGAGAAGAGACGCAGTACTACAAAGAGAAGAAAGAAGTTCATAGATAACTCAAAGGAATCGTAAAGCCAACACGAGGATTCGTCGTCTTCATCTTGTTTCCAAATTTTGCAGGCTCGATCAAGGGCTTTGCCAAACAATAAAGGACCAGGTAGGGAACCTAGAAAAAGAAAAAGAAATTAGAAAAAAAAACAAAAAACGTTGAAATCTACTATTCCTTCGACCCCAGATTCAAAACTAGGACCAGGGCGAGAAAAAATACATTAGAAACCAAACGCAGGTGTGGCAAGACTTTAACCAATCAGCGAGCGATACGAAAAGATTTTGCAAGTGCTGTGAATGCTGAACAAAGTCAGAGAGCTGCACTTTTAGAAACGGACACTGAAAATATTATGGCCAGAAAATGTGAGAAACGGTGAAGTTCTAAAAGAAAAAGGGAACTAGAATGATTTCTTCTGTTTTGTCCCTTCAGGGCGTGGTCGATGATGCTTTCAACCAATCTCCCCTTTACCAACCTCCAGTCCCGTTCCATCATCCATTCACATGTGCTCGTCAGGTATGTAGCCCAGCTTTGGGCAAACAGTTAACCCACAAAATGGGGTCAAAACATGAAAATATAAAAATACATTAGAAAAAATCACCAGCAATGTATTTCAACTCCACGTCTATTACGCAAATTCTTTTCTTAATATTTTAATATTTTCCATTCCACCTCTGGAGTATTCATACTCTTGCTTTTCAACTCTCACAGTTATTTTGAAAGTGTCGTACTTTTGATGTTTTATGGTTGTAGAATCGTTGTACAATATAAAGAAACAAAGATTCTACCAACCACAAGCCAGATCTAGATTGTAAAAAAAAAAAGACGCTACGCCTACAGGCTTAGGATTAATTCTTTAGTTTACGCATTACGTATTTTTTCTCTTGACCATCCATTAACTCACTTTTCATGTGTAATACATGACTCATTCCAGATGTTACCAAAATAGACTTTGCACACAGTGTTACATCAGTTTCAGAGAAATCAGATGCATCAGTGGGTTAACCTGAACGATGACCTCCTTGCCACTAGTACCATATTTGCACCTCACAGTTTGTTAATGGCTGCTTCAAACGTATTAACAGTTGATGTACCCAGCTGTGCTTAGGCTATTCACACATGGGTCAAACCAGATGCCAAGTAGATATATATGCATTGAGAGAGAAAAAGGGAACAGTCTTATACAATCTATCGTGAGAGAAGAATCCACGCTCAGAAGAAATTCCCAAAGCCGTAATAATTGATGAAGCCGGAGTTGAATAAACAATAATATTATGCATGATTGATTTAGTTAGATGTTCACACACCTTGTTTGATATCATTGAAATTTACCATGGTTACTTACCTAGTAGTCTTCTGATGAAATGGTTCATGCCAAGACCAAAAGTTCTTTGGTTGTCTGGGATACATCTGTGGGGAAAAGTCGTAGAAAGAGAAGGTTTACAAAAAGTACAATGATCATATTTCAACTCCACGTCTATTACGCAAAACACTCAGTCTTCGTTTTCTTGAAAACTACAGATTGAATACACAGTAGAAATAGATTTGTTTTTAAAATAAAGAGAAATCTTTGGTACACGTCTAATATGAATTACATTCTTATCGTTCAGTGGGTTGTCCGTTGGGGACAATGACAGAATCCCTACTGTGGATGTCCCAGTCATCCTGTACGAAACTGGAAATAGTATGTCTTTAACCTTTTTCTACTGTATATTAATGATCTTATTATTTCGGGGTGGTAGCACTTGTTAGGGTCCCAGCTTTGGGCAAACAGTTAACCCCCAAAATGGGGTCAAAACATGAAAATATAAAAATATATCAGAAAAAAATCACAAGCAGTATATTTTCATAGTAAAAAAATTACCAGCAATATATTTTAATAGTAAAAAAAAAAAAAAAACAGCAATACATTTTTATAGCAAAAAAAATTATGGCAATACATTTTCATAGTAAAAAAAAATACAAGCATTACATTTTTATAGTAAAAAAAAAAAATTCCAACAATACATTATGGAAAAAAATAAAAAATTACCAAAGCTTACATGAAAATAAAATTTCGGCATTAAATGATATTGGTGTGGCGTTAAACAAACCAAACCAAACCAAACCAAACCAAACCAAACCAAACCAAACTCCGATCATTAGTGTGGCTGATACAATAGTTTACAGGTGCACCTCCAAATATTTGGAAGACCAGAACCCAGCAGCTCATCTCTCCGCTGATCCAGACCATGTGGCTCAATGTAGAAAAGACTGACTTGTAAAATTCAATACGGCTAAAACCAAATTAGTAACGTTCCATCACTATCTAGCAAACCCCGAATGGATGGGTGTTCTCTCAGGGAAGCTCCTTGGTTCGAGCATCTTTTAGGACTCAAACTCTCCCTAGACCTCAAGTGAACATATATTCAATGTATTGCTGGAATAATGGTCGGTTCTTTGTACCGCTCCAATAAGTATCTGACTCCTCCCGCTATACTTTATACTTACAAGAGCCAGATCAAACCAAAAATGAAGTATTGCTGCCATATCTGAACTGGAGCTGTCCTGCCAACACTTGACTGTATTGATGGAGTTAAAAAGCTACGCGGCGTTGTGGGTGATGAATTATTTTCCACTCTATAACCTCTTTCCTACAGACGAAAAGTTGTGAGTTCTATCACAACTTCCAGGTCTTGTGTTCTGACGAGCTACATTATTTAATCTAAAAACCCCTAACATTTACAACTGGGATACGCCATACTACGTGCACAAGAGTGAATCGATCCCCATCCAATTTGTATATATTTGTAAGAAGTTCCACTCGAACAGCTTCTTCTCCAAAACTGTTGCTTTTTTGAACGGACTCTTCGTAGGATGTTTTCCCAACCACTACGATCTTGACCTTTTTAAGTCTAGGGTTAAATATTATTATCTTTCCTGGATTCAACTTCACTTCTTGTCCATTCTTACTCTCATACAACACCACATTAACTTTCTACTTTGAGTGGCTCATGGGATTTGTATTAGGTGTACATTAGTATATAAAAAAGAAAACAAAGATAGGACTATATTTCAAATTACCAACAATACATTTTATAGAAAAATGACCAACAATATATTTTATGTGCAGTTGAAGCCATAAAATTGTGTTCAAAATGCTTGGATAGCACATGGAGGTTGATGTGCTGCTAAACAAAATCAACCAATTAGTGTTAAGAAAAGGTAGTTGATTGCCTTCGACATTAAGCAAAATTTAAGAGGGGTGAATCTAGGAAATTGGAGGAAGAATTATCCGTTTTGTGTTACTTCAAAGACACGAAAATAATAGGAGGATCCCTAGTTAATCTATGTAGTTCCGGTAAGTATACATCAGTTGCTCTAGGGTTGGATGTGTGGACGGTGTGATGGATAACGGCTCGGAATTGGAAATCGGAGAACCTAGTTCGAATTCCAGTCGGGTTCGTTATATTCACTTACGCGCAAATGTCCTTGGGAAAAGCATGAAACCACCTCTTCTCTCCCCTCCCAGTTGTAGGTTAATTAGTAGGATTTGTATCAGTAAAACGCTATTATCGCAGAAAAGATTTCTTACAAGGAAAAATTGACCAAGCTCGACATTGCTTAACTTCGGCGATCATACTATAACTGGTATTTAAACCTGATATGGTCATAAGCCTTTGAAGGAACAGAGAATGTTTGCTTGGTAGTTTAGATGTAAGAAGTACATAGTCTGATGATCAAACGAGTAAATGGCTGACATTATTCAATCCTTGCTATTTCCTCTTCATTATAAACCCAAACCTTCTATATATATATATATATATATATATATATATATAGATAGATAGAGAGAGAGAGAGAAAGAGAGAGAGAGAGAGAGAGAGAGAGAGAGAAAGAGGGAGAGAGAATCTTTTTTTTTCTCTTTGACAGCTTCAGAAATACTTTTCCAAATGTCTTTAATAATTGTTGCGTGAACTAGATCAGCTAATTAGAACATAGCAAGGCGTTATGACTCGGCATCAGTTATATGGCGACACTTTTATAATAAGCGATGTATAAAGTGTGTTGAATAACCAGATTTGCAATAGCAGACCATACGAAAATACATAGAATATAACACATGATATTTCCTTAATCGATGTCGTTGATTAAGTGGAGCACAGAATTATTGTCATTCTGTCCTTTCATCTTTTCTGATTCCTCTACGCCATCTTTATTTTGCTATTTGGTAATAACACTTTATATATATATATGAAGTATTTTCCTTATTATCATTTTATTAATAGTTTTTCTCTATCGTATAATTAAACATTTCGTAAAATGATCGGGATTTTGATTTTCTCTCGAAAAATAATCAGTAATAAGACTGCACGATTTGGATCGAGAATATTCTTTTGTAACATAATATCGGCAAAATATCTCATCAGCAGCTCCAGTCGACACTTCTAATATTTTTTAAGAAACTGGGAGGAGACTAGACCGACTCCGTGAAAGAATAAACTACCTGGAAAAATTTCACCGTCTTCGCCATTCTATAAATTTGCCATTTTTACTGTTGTTCACCTAATACAAGACTCAATAGCCACTCAAGATAGATGGTTACTGAACAAGATTGTTGTAAAAGCGGAAAAGGAGGAGGCTAGGACGAATATCATGAGGATATGTAGGATATATATCGTTTGGCCCTAGACATGAAAATGTTTGTAGTAGTTGGAGACGCAACACTTCAAGAGCCTGTTCCACAATGTGACAGTTCTGGGGAATAAGCTGTCTGAATGGAACTTACTCCTTCCTAAAGGATTGCGAAGAGAATGTAGATGAATTGATGCTGTGTACGAGGTCTGGTGCGTCCTAGCTGGGAAGATCTGAATTGGCGGAACTAAGGAATGTAGCCCGTTTGAACATTTGCCATAGTAATAGTGATAGAATAGTAAGAGGCTAGCAGCCTGTGGTAAAGAGGTTGTAGGGTGGAAAATAATTCATCGTCCACAAGACCGTGTAATCGCTTTTGAACTCAAAAGTTCGACAGTGGAACTTGTAGCATTCTTAGTCTGATCTAACTCTTGTATATAGAGAGAATTACAGTAGAGACTTTCTGGAGTGATACAAGGAGCCGGCTTTTCTTCAGGCTTCTTTAACGATGGTATGAATATACGAGCTCCACCTGAGGGTCTGGAGTAAGCTTTAGTCATAACAGACACTCGAGGCAAGGAGACTCAATGAATCAATTACTCATCGGGATTGGAGGAAATTTAGGGTCTGAAATGTTGCTGGCTTTTTTTTTTAGAGGTATTGAATGTTACAAACCAGTCTTTAAAACATTGGGCTGTCAGAGCGAGGTTCCAGACGACTTTTCTAATATGTTTACTAAACTGAAAGGTGAATAGACCGAATCTGTTCATCTTCTATTCAGTCTAGAACAGAGAACAATAACAACAATAAATGTACAATAACAAGTGGAAAAATTCCATTGCCTTCCTCATCAAATTTTTTAATCGATATCACCCCGTGCAAGGCAGTAAAGCCTAATGGGGGTGACACAAGGGGTTACAGGGTGTAAAAGAATTAGGAGCAGAAACATTAATAATGAACGGGAATAGAAACGGAGGACAGTAGATAGCAATTGAAATTGCATTCAAATTTTTTAAGATTAAAGTTGACTAGAAAGCATGCAGCCGGAAGGGAGTTCCACGAGTAAAAAGTGTGAGAAAAGAAGCTGTTAGCATAGAATTTACAGTTATATCTTTAGTCAACTCAACTGTAAATTGATGAGATTTCGACGCCAGTCTAGTACTGGACTTAAATTCAAAAAGTTTAGGTACCATAGCGTAAAGCTAATCCGAACACAGGAACATCCGAAAATAGGAGGCAAGGTCTTATCATTTTACAGTTGAATTGGCTAGATGTAACTGTAAATTCTATGCTAAAAGTTTCTTTTCTCACTTCTCGCTTGTGGAAATCTCTTCTGGCTTCTTGCTTTCCAGCCAACTATGATTTTCAAAAATTTAAATGCAATATCAATCGTTATCTACTCTCTTTTTTTTATTTTTCTCTTTCTTTTTTTTATATTCTTTCACACTCACTAACCCCCTGTATCCTAGTGGCTTTATTAACATGCTTGGGGTGAAATAATTAAAAAATAGGTAATATATTTAAAATTGAAATATTGACAATTAACTGATTTTTACGTACCTTAGAACCACGGCCAAAAGCGGCGTTCGCGCCAGAAACGTGGCAAAAAGAGTTATAAGCAAAAATGGCAGGAAGATGAACATCTGATAACAGTGTTCGTCGCCATGACAGACACCATCTTTGGCAGTCCCAACGTCATCATTAATTATACACGAACAATTAGAATAAACCTGAAGGGAAAAAAATCGATATAATAAAATAAGTATGCAAAAGTTTATTACAAAAAGACACACGAAATTACCCGACATAATGTGATATAAGTCCTGTAGAATACCTCCCCGATCCCATTGGGCAACAAACTCATCATGCTAGGCGTTGTAACTGTGATTTCTGTAACAAATAGGTTTTTACGAGGAGGAGTTGTCAGCCCCACGCCCACCTGGATTTGAATTCAGAGTTATCTTTCTAATAGGCAAGTTACCAACCAAGGCTAGGGAGCTTACTATGTCTTGCTGTTAGCACCTAACTGAGAGGAGAAAAGGTTGCGCGATACCTTTCCAAAGGTATTTGTGCGTAAGCGAACGCAACAGCCGCGGTTGGAATTTGAACTTACATCGCCGATAATAATTACGCTACGTTCTCACCCTATCTATCTATCTATCTATCTATCTATCTATCTATCTATCTATCTATCTATCTATCTATCTCATCATTATCTATCTATCTATCTATCTATCATCTATCTATCTATCTCATCTGTTCATCATCTCTCTCTCTCTCAGGCTATTCATATCTCTCTCTATATATATATATCTATCATTCTATCTCAGTCTGTTCATCTATCTATCTATCTATCTATCTATCTATCTATCTATCTATCTATCTCAGTCTGTTCATATACATCTCTCTCTCTCAGGCTATTCATATCTCTCTCTCTCTCTCTCTCTATATATATATATATATATATATATATATATATATATATATATCATTCTATCTCAGTCTGTTCATATCTATCTATCTATCTATCTATCTATCTATCTATCTATCTATCTATCTATCTAATTTGTAAAGAATTAATGGATTTTTAATCCGACATTATTTCTCATTAGAAAAAAAAAACGCTATATTTAGTGGGTACACGTGTTTGAGTAGACATCTGCTTATTTTTTTTTTTAACAGAATAACGTCTACAGCCCCGGGATTTTCGAGGGTGTTTAATAAAGAGAATGTGCTCTTTGGCACATATATAACGTTGGCTACCCCTATATAAGTGGTACGCAAATTTGAACCTTGCCGAAGACATATCGTCTTCATAAAAAGCTATACCCCAGGTAGGCGTCAATTATTCTGTTAAAAAAAATAGAGATGTCTATTTAGACACATATATCCACAAAATTTTATGTTTATAGTAATGAGGAATATATGCATACAACATTTACGATCGCGTCTACCGTGAAGCTTTAAGTAGCATTTTCCTTTGATTTTAGTTCGTGTACTTGAGTAAATTTTCTGATGCGGCTATTTAAAAGCATGACTCTAGTTCTCAGGTTAATGTTTTGCTTACGTAGCAACTTGCGATGTTATGGAAAACTACCCCTAGCACTGCCTATTTGATGTTCAATTTCCTTTTTTCTTTTTGATCCATACACCGATATATCTGAAGTTTTTAGTCTATATACATAAAATTGTACCTTCTGTCTGCCTGCTTGTCATCGAACTCCTTCTAGGGTTTTGGAGATAGACCCCACCATAACCATATATATTCTGAAACTACATTACTCAGGATACTTGGATAAGTATATTACATTTTGATTAAAGGAGTTCACCAGGATGCACCCCCACTAAAATCTTTTTCTCTTTGATATAAATTAAGTTTAAATTTGAACAAATGACTCCTACCGTACTTGGATATATTTCATTTTGATCAAAGGGGGCCCGGGGGGGGCACCGAAAATTTATTTCCCTTTGATTTAAATTAAATTTAAATTTGAACAAGGGAATCGCTCCTATCCAAAATATAAAAGGAAACAACCAGAAGATGGAGTTGACATCGGCAAGATCAAAATGAGACAATATGGACGTCAAGTTGAGCAAGAAATCATCAATTGGTGGGTAGTGCCTTACAATACACATTTCTTGCGACAATTCAACTCTCATATCAATGTTGAAATCAGCTCATCAATTCATTCAATCAAGTATTGCATCAAAGGGGTCAGATTAAGCTGTTTTTGCACCTAACCCCGACTGAAAATTTTCCCCTTTGATTTAAATTAAATTTAAATTTGAACAAGGAAATGACTTGTATCCAAAATATAGGAGAAAGCCAGAAGATGGAGGTCACATTAGCAAGATCATGGAGTAGTACTGAAATGCATCATTTTTCTCCACAAATTATTACAAATGATTTAAAATCACACATCTTTTTATTACAAAAAATGTGTAACCCGCATCAAGGCGCGGGTAATTTGCTCGTATTTAATAATTCTCCATCTTGAATGTTTATACTGGATTTAAGAGAAGTGTCATCATTGCTTTTATTTTAATTCCAGATCGTACTTTTTGTTTCGGTGAGGTTTATCTTCATTCTATATCTTGCAAAACTTGAAGAGGATGCTGATTTTTTTTTTGGTGTTCAAGATAACAATTGATAACTTAATAACTTTGATTGTCTATTGTTGTATATTGTATGCAAGGGTCTAAATAACTGAAACTTGTCAAGGGTGATAATAAGAGCTAATAAACAAAATAGGCTAATATTTTTTTCTAGCTAATAAACAGCTTTTTACTCTATACCTGCTTAACGATAAGGAAGAGTTTGGTAACTATCTGGACAAGACAACCTTTGTTAAGATATTACATCGAAGTAATGTGGATTCATGCCTTTACTTCAAGAGTAATAGTATTAAATAGTTCTAACTCCAGTCCCCTCTCCGTTGGGTCAGATGGGTCAAAGTAGTAACGGTTTAATTACCTTGATTTCGGGTTCAAAATTCAAACAGCCCGCATGGCAGGGAGAGAAGTATGTGTTTCCATTTGACCCACAAACAGGTTGATAATATTCCGTGTTGCACGAACAATCTTTGTTGCAGGAAGATACCAAATCAGGTGTATGAGGTCTTACCGAATAGCTGTTAGACAAAGGAAATACGAAAACGCATTATAACTTGACATCATCTAAATAAGTGGTTCTCAACCGGGGTCCATATGGACACAGGGGTGGGGGTCCATATGCACATAGGGGGTCCATATGGACACAACGGGGGTCATTTTAATAGTACTGGGGATCCACACAAAAAAGTAGCAAATTGGAGGTCCTCGGTAATATATTAGTGGTCCATAAAGCAATTTCACTTTGGAACGGTTGTTACAACTGAGAAATGGAATTTTTACAGTAAACTATGCCATATTAAAAATACTAAACATAGAAAAACAACTCTAAAACTAACAGAAAACTAAATCAAGTGATGTAAATTAGCGTCCCTTTTACTCTACCGGATGATTTGATTGTAAAAGTTTAATAAAAACTAAGAAGGAAGGATTATAAAGGGAAATTATATAAAGATTATAATTTATTATATAAATTAATTTTATATATTAATAATAAATAATAACATTAATTTTAAATATTAATAAAATAAAATATTAATATAAATTAATAATAGACTCAACATTGTGAAAAAGGGTGATCTTCGACTATCACTGACATCGATGGAGGTGAATATAAATAAACTCGCAGAGCAGCATCAGCCACAGGGATCTCGTTGAATTAATCTGCAGTTTTTTTTTTTAAATTTATTAATTACTCACATATTTTAAAATGGTTGATTATGAGTTATTTTCCTAGTGTACATAAATGATCCATTGAATTTAGTTATGAAATACAAGTTTATTTTCAGTAAAATTAGTTTTACTTCAAAATAAAGCATATATATTTAGAATTTCTATAATACAATTCCTAAACGTTTCTATTAGTAAAAAATAAGCTTTTTTTCATTGAATGGTTATGGGAGTTCATCAAAATAGTAAAAATAGTCCATGGGTAAAAAAAAAAAAAAAAGTTTGAGAACCACCGGTTTAAAGTTATTAAGCATCATCATTTTTTGAGCGAAAAGTTATGATTCGCAGTCACGATTCCGCAGTCACCATTCCTTTTATTTTATTTTTTTATCAATTCATCCCAAGCAAGACGATAATGTCACTAAGACGCAAAGGACTATTTTGAGCGAATAAGAATGAGAAAACTTTAGAAGGAGCCGGGAGCACAATCCTAAACAAGAAACAAGGAAAAAAACCTCTACTTCTTTTCAAAAGACTGGGGAGGAGTATGAAACAGACAATAGGCGAACCTATCTACTCCTATTGAGGTAAAAAAAATAAATAGTATATAAAATTTCAGAGTTTAGGTGGAGACGTCAGAAGTACAGAGTTGAAGTAAACTTTAGAAAAAAACTCAATCCTAAACAAGAAACAAACGATAAGCCTCATCTCCTGTGAAGTGTGTGAATCGGACGATAAACGAACCTATTGCAACCTTTTCTATTTTAAGCATTTTGAAAGTTTTGGTTGAAATTTCAAATTAACCTTACAGGCATTGAATATAATGTGTAAGATATGTAAATATGGCATCGGTTTTACTATAGTAATAAATAATCTACTTTTGAATGACTTATTTCTTTCGTTTTATTTTATTTTTTTTCATTATTAGGACAATCGGTATCTTCATTTAAGGCCATGTCAGAGTGCATCTGTTAGCAGAACTGGAGGCCTATTTCAAATCTCGTCGTTTCACTGAAAGCGAAGTATTTTTATTTTTGGCTTGGGTCTGTGGTAGTTCACTACTGTAGTTGGCTTAAAAAATATTTGCTTTTTACACTTGTTAAACTTTTTTACACTAGCTTATTCAACTGAAGTATCGTATTTGTCTTTGCATAAAACTCCATTTTTTGTTTTTTAATGTACAAAAAAAACGAAAAAAAAAACTGCCCCACGCCTAATACGGCCATATTACGGACAGGAGACGGCCGAGGTTTTGTGAATGATTTATTAAATAAACATTTGTTTTGTGATACATTTTTATAGTTTTTTGCCGCTTGCTATGTATAGTAGTCTGTATTGTTTGTTGAGATACCACATTCTGTTATAATGCATTCGGTTTTTCCCACTTGCTTGTTGCATCGTACTGGTAATATTCAGTGAAATATTTTGCTGTGTCTATATACTGTAATTATCTATAAGAATTCATTCACATTTATTGTACTTTACTGATTGATTTATACAAGTTTGTTTCTATATCAAAAGCAACCAACCAACGCTCAACAAAATTTATTACAAATGTAGCAGCAATGATTTGAAATAAATTTAACAAAATGACAGTTCTTAGGTAGCACGAGCGATTTCGAAATGGTGACTGTGAAAGGTCAACTGAGAAATTTCTCTAACCTTCTTTCAAGACACACATATATTAATAAATATACATATTATCCCCAACCGATAGCACAACTCGGAGTTTCATGCACAACGCAATCCTCAGGTGCTGAGTATAGACTGACCATTACATAATTTAAATTTTAATAAAAATATCTGTTTAGTTTATTGCAATATTGGTACAGTTATATATACTAGGATTATAGGATTTTTTAATTAAAAAATATATTTGGCATTTAAAATAAACAGGATATATATATATATATATATATATATATATATATATATATATATATATGTATGTATGTGTGTGTGTGTGTGTGTGTGTAAAAAATAAAAATTATTTTAGAGTTGTGAATATTAATTTTTTATATTAAGCATAAAGGGAGATTACTGGTTCTTTTTTTTTTAAACAAACAAACCATAACTTACATTAAAAATTAATTTGAATTAACGTATTTGAGCAGATATTTATTTTTATGCCTACATGCAACCATTAACTCTTTTCTCTTGTTTAATAAGCTTGGGTTATTTCGTTGTTTTAAGATAACAAGACATGGATTAGATCTCTGTCTATATCTCTGAGATGAGACATTATGATTACTTACATTATTCAGAGTGTATCCTCATCTTCATTG